AAACGAAAAGGTCAACAGCAGCAAGTGACCGAAGAAGTTACGGTGGAAGAAAAAGGCAAGGCTCCAGTCACGACCGTGACAGAAGGTCCTGTAGAAGAAATTGTTGAAGACACTGTATTGCCGTTGTCACTTCCGAAGGTTACACGACCTATTGAGGTGGGAGAAGTTTTAGAAGATGTAAGAGATGATGTATGTAAAGAAAAGAACTTGGAAGATGATGTAAAGAAAAAAGATATAAAACATATGGAGCAAAAGAACGTAGATAGTTTATCAAAAGATAAAAAATCACCTGTTTCTGCGATTGAAGATCGAGCAAATGACATTGTAGTACCTCTATTTTATTCTGATGTAGTCGAATCTAATGATGCGGAGAACAAAGAAATGCACGACACTACACCAGAAATACACGACAAATCCACACATAAAAAATTGAAAAAGCATAAAGTCGATGAAATTATACTAAATGGTAAGTTTTCAGTTTTCTTTGTGTGCGATAGCTATTTACGCAATATTAATGCAAAGTATGAAAGAACACGTTTATATTTTATACAAATTGCATATATCAGCTAATGGACATGTATAATATAAGGTATTTATCACCTACAGTATTAATAAGTGTTAATGTATATAATAAGATACATTATCTTATATATTAAAATACATCTTTCGCTTCATGAAAAGTTTTGTGTAAACATATATATGTGAGAATGCAAATTTAATATTTATTTTTATTTTGCAGATATTGTGGAAAAACCGATTTCTGAGGTATGTTAAACTTTTTTGCACTATCTACACATTAGTCTAATATGTTTTAAAATTATAATATGTTTTTATAGCCACAAAAAACGAAGCCTGAAATTGCCGAAGAAAGTGTGAATGAAATTGTGAAAATTGATGCAGAGGAACAGCATGCTCAACTTTTGGTACAAGAAGAAGAGGTGGTACGTGTTGGACTTGATATCAAAAAGATATCTCAAGAAAAAGGCAAGGTAGTTATCACCGAGGCAAAAGAAATTGTCGATGTTACCGAAGTGCCAAAAGCTATCAAGAAAAAGAAAGAGCCTAAGAAGAAACATATAACCGATGCTGTCGAGAGTTTTGGTGAAACTGCAGAAGAAATAATAATGGATAAGCCCGTAGAAGAAAAAGCTAAATCTATTGTGGAACAAAAGCAGGAAACTATCGTAATTACTGAAGTAGATGTACAGAAAGTATTTGATAAGGTACCGGAAAAAGGAATTCCTGCTCAAGAAGAAATAACTGTTGAAACAACCAAAGAAATAAAAAGTAAACTACCAAAAGAAGAACAAATACAATCAGATTTTATAACAAAAGAAGGACTCACAGTTATCGAGACAATTTCAAGCGCAACTACTGAAGAACTTCCTAAAAAAACAAAACCAACGAAAGAAACAGCAAAACCAGTCGAAAGTGTTGGAGAACAAGTTGATGTTAAAGAAGTTACTGTAAAAAAAGCGCCTATAAAGATTAAACCAAAACATGCAGATAAACAACAAATCGAAGAAAAAATTGTAGAAGAAATTAAATTAGAAAAACCACAAAAAGAGAAAGCAGAAAAATCATTACTTACAAATAAAGAAATAGAGACTACTGAAATTATTTCTGAAGTTGCAACCAGTGATTTAGAAGAAAAGAAACCACAAAAAGAACAAGCTATAACTACAGAAGAATCAGAACAAGATGTAAAAGATGTAAAAGTGACAGAAGTAATTATAAAGAAAGCGCCACTTGTTAAGAAAGAAGAAATAAAGGAAGATCGTTTAGATGAAGTAACAGAAGATCTAAAACCAGAAAAACTTGAAAAGAAAAAGGCTAAACCAGATGTAGCTTTACAACAAAGTATTGAAATTTCAGAAATAACAACAGAAATAACACCTGAAGAACTGGCTACGGAAAAAATGCCCGAAACAAAAGCAAAATCAAGTATTACACCAAAAGAAAGTATTGAAGTTACTGAAGTAACTGTAGCTACAGCAGATGACAAAATAATCGAGAAAGAAAAACCAAAGACTGTAAAAGCTAAAGTTGAAGAAGAAAAAATAGAATTAGCTCGCGTTAAAAAAGATAAGGTTATTCTAGAGAAAAAACCTATTATTGAAGAAGAACAAAAAGAAAATTTAGCAGAAAAAATACCAATAAAGCCTAAAAAGGAAAAAGTACAAATGGACGAAGTTCGATTAGAGACTACAGACATAGCACAAATCATACCGGAAACTAAAGTTGAAGAAATGCCAAAAGAATTGCAAGAAGAAACAACTTTTCCTAGTATTGAAGAAAAACCAACAGAAAAAACCACTGAAATATTGGAAGAAAAGAAAATTGTCAAGAAAAAGAAAAAGAAGCCTATCAAAAAAGATGAAATAGAGGAATGGGTAGAGCCTGAATATGAAAGACCTGTGTTAGAACCAATGCCCGAAAAAATTCAATGGGAGCCAACAAAAAAGAAGAAAGAAAAGAAAATAATTCCTGAATCAATGCAGAAATTAGTTCCGCAAAAAATTGAAAGAAAAGAAATTAAACCTACAAAATTAACATATCTTGAACCAATGAAAGAAACAGTACAATTTGGTACAATTAAATTGAAAAAAGTAAAAATTGAGAAAAAGAAAGAAATTAGCGAACCTAAATTCCCTAAGATTATGTTACGTAGCAGAATCACATTTATTGGTGACTATCCACCAGAATTACAAATGCCGAAAATTACATACCTTGAAGAAAATCTTGTACAAACTGGAATTCTATCTAGGAATACAGAAGAAGCTTTACAAGTATTAAAGAAAAAGTATAAGAAACCTAAGATGTCAGAAAAAGAATTAATAGAATTAGAAAAATTAGACAAAGAGTTCGAAGAGTTAAAAAAGATTCCTTTAGAACAAATAGAAGACAAATCTATTTATGAGAGGGCACCTAAAAAACCTGAAAAAACACCTGAAGAACCACAAAAACTCGTTATTGGAAGAGGTGAAGTAAAACAAGAAGCTAAAATTGAACCAGAAGAAGTTAAACTAAAGACAATACCGGAAAAGAAACCTGATGAAACATCAGAGACTAAACCAAAACCTAAACAAAAAGAATCTAAAGAAGAAGTACCAAAGAAAGAAAGAGAACAGCCCAAAGAAATATTAACACACGAAGATTTTAAACCACTAGACTTTGATAGACCAGAAATTGAAAAGTACATACCTGAGGAACAAGAAACACCTAAGAAGCCAGAACCTGAACCTATTCCAAAATCATATGAAAAACCTAAGAAAAAGAAACCTGAACAAGATATTGAACAAATTCCATTAATAAAAGGAAAACCAAAACCAGAAGAACCCGAAGAAGAACCTGAAGTCAAATTTCGAATACCAACATCAGAAAAGCCAGAAGATGAGCCCGAAACAATAACGTTAAAAGGTTGGAAAAAACCAAAACCAGAAGAAGAAGATACACAAAAATATCCATCTGAGGATAAAGATGTTACTTTGCGACCGCCGAAAGAAGATACCGAAGACGTTACAATAAAGCAAAAAATAAAACCAAAAAAACCTAAAAAGAAAGAAACAAAGCCAGAAGATATTACTGAAGAACTTATATTTAAAAAAGAACCAGAAGAAGAGCAAGAAAAACCAACAGAGAATCTTATCGCAAAGAAACCGGTGCAGGAAGAAGTGATAGTAAAGAAACCAAAAGAAACTACTACTCCTAAAGAAGAAATAACAGATAAAATAACGATTAAAAAGCCAATAGTTGACAAAAAGAAAGAAGAAATCACTGAAGAAGTTACATTAAAGAAAAAACCAAAGAAGAAACCAGTTACGGAGGAAAGTGCTGCTGAAGTTACTATAACAAAACCTGTTCCGGAGGAAAAAGAACAAGTCCCGGAAGAAGTTTCAGAAGAAATAAAATTAACAAAGCCAAAAAAGAAACCAACAAAAGAAGAAGTTGCAGATGAAGTAACAATTAAAAAGCCAGTAGTTGAAGAAAAGAAAGAAGAGATAAAAGAAATTACTGAAGAAGTCACATTAAAGAAAAAACCAAAAAAGAAACCAGTTACGGAGGAAAGTGCTGCTGAAGTTACTATAACGAAACCTGTTCCAGAGGAAAAAGAACAAGTTCCGGAAGAAGTTTCAGAAGAAATAAAATTAACAAAGCCAAAAAAGAAACCAACAAAAGAAGAAGTTGCAGATGAAGTGACGATTAAAAAGCCAGTAGTTGAAGAAAAGAAAGAAGAGATAAAAGAAATTACTGAAGAAGTCACATTAAAGAAAAAACCAAAGAAGAAA